CGACCGTTCGCCTGCACATGCCTGGAGCAGCAATTGCTTCTTTCTAGCGCCTTGCAGCGAATAGCAAATCTGATATGTGAGCGGACAAAAAGCCTTGCATATCTACAACAGCTTCTATGCAGACAATGTGCAGGGCCAGTTTACTTGGCCTTCCTTCAGCCGTGATTGGCGAAGGTGAAAGCCCATCAGGCCAGAAACCTGCGACATTCCCCATCCCACGCGTGAGCCCGTGTTTTCTGACTACGCACCCGGCACTGGCTGGCCTGCAACCCCCACACACCCTACAGCCCTTTTCCCCTACAGTATGTGTTCAAATCCCGTAAGAAAAGAGCAAAAAGGAAAGAAGACACATCAGCCCCAAACGTCTTCGTCCCAGCTCCCATTTCCTTGTCGGTCCTATTGGGCAGAAGCTTCACCACCTCCATTCCAAAATGCAACTCTCATCATAAAAGAATACCCCTTAAGTTACACTGTTATGACTTCCCCGCTTTCAATGGATGGGCTCGCAAAAAGCTTGATTCTTGCCGATGTGAGCCATCACTGCCCAGGAGACCGGTTCGCTCGACTTCATTCGTCGTTCCTGGGCTGGGCTCTCGGCTCCTACATAGCTTAGCTTCCTTCACTTCACCCCATGGGTGGTGTTGCTCGCGGAATTGCGCGGCACGCAACAATTTGGGATGATGAGAGGGCGACCCTGGTGCTGTTGCTTTTTGTTTGTTGCTTGCTTTGTTGTAACCTACTTACACCATAGGGCAGCAGCGGAGCTTCGGAGTTCAACAATCGAAAGCTCGAATGATCGATGTAGGTTCTTTCATCTCCTTCCATGTCGCTATCTTGTTGGCTATCCCCAGAATAGCCCCCTCGGCCCAAAGCAGTCCGGAGTGGTCACGCCTTACCAGTGCTGTCGCGCTATCATGCAACGACATGTAACTCATCTCCGATCTCGTCACAATTACCTTGCATAGAATGCTTCGAGAGAAACGTCTACATTGACACCAGGCGCATACACAACAATGCTCACGTTATTCATACAATAACACAATAATCATTGTGAGATGACGATAGTAAGTACTGATGTAAGTAACCCGCTGGGCTTTCCTTTCAAAAATCAAGTCAAATCCCAACAAAATCATGCCAGTCATACGTTTCATACGTATTATCGACATTCGCTGCCCAACCACATTGGCGCGAGTGTTTTCGCTCCTGGCAGAGAGCAGACTATGAACCCGTTGCTGGGCGCCTGGGCTCGAGAGGTCGTTTTGAACCTCCTTGAGAACCCGGGAATCAGTAGAGGTCACATTACATCACATTGTTCATTTATTTTATCTCTCCGTTTCAGTATTCATTCCGTTACTCTTCCGTTTTGTTGTTTAGTAACGAGGTTGGTGAGCTTTTTGCCGCGATCGATGTCAGATTGGGCTTTCATCGACGCGCCCACCAATGAATAAACCTCATCTATTAAGCTGACATATATGGGGGTATAAACCCCGGATATACACACCCGCTTTCGACAAGAGGTGCGTGCGCACGCCGCCGGCTAGGTAGTCATCGGGGGTGGGCCAGAACCTGGGGAAGAGAGCGCGCATTATTTACAATCAATATACACAATTCATTACCACAATAGACAATCCTTCGAGTTTGAGTATCATATTAGGTGTTATCACAACTAATTAACCCTGTCATTTACAAAAGAACCGTGTACGGGAATAAACCCGAGAAGCTGAAGAGGCAACGGTACTCTTCCCGACGCTACGGAGCGAATGTCACGGCCCTTCTCCTACACACCATCTTCATATGACCTTGTGACATGACAAATGCTAAACTAGCCAGTCGTCGACGCGTTTCGTCTCGTTCCGCTCTCGCTGCTGAGTCCTCCTGAAGAGCGCCCCCTAGATCCTCGGCGGAGATCTATTCTTGGCACGAACGGGATGTGATTCCATTTGTTGATGTTGATCGTAATAACTTAGTTTGTGCCTCTTCTTTTTTTTCAGCAGGTACAAGAAGGTATTAGAAGCGGATAAATCAAATGGTGACACGATGAATCACGGGGATTGCTTGGCGGCTAATACTTAGGTAGCTATCATCGGAGAATTAATTCTATGGTGGATACATACGCAGGTAACTCTATGATGTATGTCTGTATATTAATACCTACTTAGGATAACCGACAAGTAATCTAAGCCATTTTGAAAACGTGGCCTAGGAATGATATCAATAATATGTATGGGAATCGAAGGGTACGCGTCTATCTACCAATGCTATCAGCATCACTCCATACTCGCGAGAGCTGACGTTTCATATTTCGGAGGGGTTTGGTTCCTCAGAGGTCGTAGATAGAACCCAAGTACAACACAACACAACCTTGGAACCCACAGATCAAGATTGGGCAACCACCGATAAAAATCGTATCATGAACTACGAATCGCTACGCACGATAAAAATAAGCCCGCCTAGCTTATCTACGGACGCGGGCCTTATGTCCCGTAACCTTAGCTTCGTGATAAATGACCTCATGAGGTAGTATCAAGAAGCGAGATAGACGCGGAGGCTACGTTAAATTATCAGCTAGGTATTTAAGGCTCTTTTCGCTAAGCTACATAGATACCTAGGTTGGGAGGCTGGTAAGGAGGGAGCAATTTTTCGAGATACATTTTCAGAATTACGTACATGTATCTCTTACCAGTCAAGAATTACTTTTACTCTTAGGTACATGTGCAACTTTGATAGCTCCTGATCAACCCCGCGAGCCAGCCTTCCATCCATCAGCAACCTACCTTACATGGTCAAAGACTGGGGTAAGTTATAAGGGATAGGATAGGCTGAGCTATAATGCGATTATCTGCGGGGTTGTCGGTTTCGTGTAGGTGTGTGTATGCAGTTTTATCAATTTCGACCACTTAATCTTCATCCTCTCGCACCATTCGCTATCGTAAATGACGAAGCCGGTCGGCGCTGATGGATGAAGTTGTTTAGAGCCGGCTAGCAGAGGGTGATCAGCAACGCTAACATGCAGCAACCTAGTTATTGGCAGTCCGAGGGAATGGTCAAGGTGTGCCATCTCCGTCTCCATCTCCATGGCGTGGGGTTTCTTATGTGACTCAAACTCCATGAACAAGGGGCCCTGTTCTGACCCAAGTAACAAACCATGGCCTCTAAATGAGAAAAAAAGAGTGAAAATCAGGACTCAGAGATGTTAGGACTTCCAATTTGAGACAAGTACAACACATTTAGGGTTGATGCAGACCACCTTTTACGATAGTTGGATAGGTGAGACTAATGCGGCTGTCAAAGATGTGATCTAGCCAAGAGCTGCACGCGATATTGGTTGCCGTTCCAAAACATGGGCACCGGGGGTATGCCCTACGCAACGGAACCATGTCCGGCTCTTTAGAACCACACTTTGCCTAGGACTTCCTTGTCCATTAGTGTTTAGTGTTTATAATTACCCATTGCAAAAGGAATTAAAACCACTTGGAAAATAACCATATTAGGAATGAGTAACCCAAACCCTTCGCTTTTATCTCCGCTAGGGTACGGCACGGCGCGACGGCCTACCTAGTTCGTGTCCGTATAAGACCCCTTCTCAGTAACCCCCCGCGTCGCCGGCGGAGCCCAGACCCTTTCCCCCCATGATACGAGATTGCCACGGTGGAATGAGTTGTGCCTCGGACTCCAAGCCTGGACCGTCTGCGAACGCCCCTGAACGTGCTCGGAAGACACCTTGAGAGGCGAGTGTAACAATAATACCGGAAGTAACGGACCCTCCTGCAAGCCCCTCCCCTGCAACCAGTTCTGTTCTATCTTCCCCTCTCCCCTCTACTCTCCCCATCTTTGCCTCCCGAGCTGACGTGAGTTGTCGAGAAATCATTAGGACCGAAACAATGCTGTCATTCGCACTTCCTCACCATTAGCTAGATTCCTAGCTTATGGCTGTTGGGCGTACCGTCGTCAGACAAATTGGATGTTTGTGGGGGGGGGAGGGTTGAAGAGGCGGACGTGGCAATTATGCACCGGTCCGCAAGGAAACCGGCGTAAGCCATAATCTTCCATAACTCTACTCCATAAGATCGATCTGCAGAAAGATCGCGGTCGATAATTGTTGAAGGACGCGCCACAAATGGATATACGTCGCACGCCATCATCATCCTTCTCTCCCCATATCCGTAGTGATTACTCATCTACTGTGTTTCCAATATCCGGGATGTTGTCCCTTCCTCCTCTTTTCCGAGTTTCAACGGGCGACGGGTCAAGGCCGCCACGATTGTCTTTATGAGACTTGGCATGCGCCCATTTTTCTGTTCTAGGAGTTTGTGGCTTTCCGCATGTCTTGTTTCAAGTTCTTGGCACGTTTTTCCTCTAGACAACCATTACCTAGGAAGTTACACGTAGCTGGGTTTGACAAGATTAGCGCCGCATTATCTGGCGGTGGTTTATAGTACCGAGTGCTTGGCACCGTCGAGGCTGGGCGAAACGGATGAGCTGTTAACCGCCACGGGCGCCACGATCGGAAACGGGCCCCTAGGTCTAGATTGTTGGGTGTCTCGGATTCTCCTTAATATGTTTTCAACAGGACAGAACAGGCCTACGGATACGACGAGAGCGCATTGAAGGCTCTGCAGATACGTGCGAGCCACGTAGATCGATGCCGCATTATCCTGACCGACATCTGAATTTTGCTTTTTCTGATTTGGACGGATGTACGCGTACATATGCCTATGCATGTTTGCATACATTACATATTCTGTGTATGTAGAGATGCTTGTCCGGCATATCCTTTAAGCGAAAAAGCGACAATAGAAAGGCGGGCCAGCCCGAGACGCTGGGGATTTGGTTCCGAGAGATAGCAGCAACATCAGCGCATAATCATCGTTAGGGTGTAGAGGAATCCTTCCAGTAAGCCTCCTACATAAACGAATGCTTGATAACGGTCCCGAATCTCGCGTGCGAAGGCGATTAGCGGTGTGTTTTGTGTAAACTTACAAAGAAAGGTTACCTAGGTAGTTTCACCAACACACCTAGTTTTATCCTCTTTCTATTAAATTTGTATAACGCTTCATGTTTGTATTTTCTTTTGTGTCCCTCATATCATACGTTCTCTCGACAAAGTTGAATAGTAGTACAAGCATAATGTGTCTTATTTTGACACCAGGGAAGTACCAAGTCACTTCTAAAGATTTATAAGGTTAACCTTATAATTATGCCTATAAGGCTCGTGGTGTAAGGTTGGCTTAAGTAATACACATGTTAGTATTTTATATGAGAAAATACTACATTTCCATAACAACCTCGGCAAATCAATTATGGATCCGAGCTGCTTAAGCGCAAACCTTACTTTACTCTTCAATTAACCGTTACGTCAGTAAAGAAACTCCCGACTCATCCCCGATTTGTACACATTTTCCACTATCTTAAGCCTCATGATCTTTTAGTGTACCCCATCATTCGATCCAACTGTTGAAGATCGAAAATTAGATACGAATCACTCGTAGTCTGAAGCCACAATCGAAATGGCGGACTCTAACACTCCGATAAAGTGCGCCACCGATGCATATATCTCCCCTCCGAAGCACAAATGACTTACACTCATTCTCTGATAGGCCAGTACACATCCTCTTTGTGGGCGCCGGAGCAGTGGGCTGCTTCTATGCGTCCCGACTCCATCATGTAAGGCCTTCATCGCGATCACGCTGCGCTATTCTGGATATAAACTAACCAGAGCGGCGACGAATGACGCGTCTTTGAAGCCTAAACAAAATATACATACTTCACTTATTGCGCGATCCAACTATGCAGCCATCGCCGCCTCCGGCGTCTCCTTAGAAACCCATTCCTTCGGAAATTACACCTTCGAACCCTATGCCGTGTTTCCATCCATATCAGCCGCCCTCCCAAATCCGACGTTATCTTCCACCTCGCCCCCTTCGCGGAGTCTACCCTCCGACGGGTGGGACTACATTATAGTCACAACCAAAGCCCTCCCCGATCGATCCGACGACGCAGCTACGGTCGCACCGCTAGTGTCTGCCAAGTCATGTATAGTATTAGTACAAAATGGGGTGGGTGTAGAGGAGCCTTACCGTAAGCGCTTTCCCAACAACCCTATAGTGAGCGGCGTCACCGTCGTTAGCGCCGAGCAGATTCGAAATGGAGTAATACGGCAGAACCGATGGACGAGAATTAGCTTGGGGCCGTATGGCAACGGGCTCGGCGCACCGTCTAATGCGACCGACGATAAGTCAGCCGATGTCGTACGACGAGGTCATGAATGCATGGAACGACTGGCACAGTGGTGGACGAAATATGGCGGTATTCGTGATGCCGAGACGCACACGGAATTGGAGTTACAGACAATACGGTGGCACAAGCTATGCATCAATGCGGCTTTCAACCCGACCGCCGTGTTGTCCGGTGGTCGTGGTAACGCCGACCAACTGACCGATCCCGAACTAAGGGAACATGTTCTGGGAGTTATGGACGAGATTTGGAAAGCAGCACCTAAGGTTTTAGGAAAGCCGTTTCCAAAAGACCTAGCGACGCCCGAAAGAATCATACGAAGTACAGAGAGGAATGCCGGGGCCAGACCAAGCATGCTTTTAGATTGGGAGGCCGGCCGCCCCATGGAGCTTGAAGTTATCTTAGGAAATCCAGTTCGGATAGCTAAAAGGGCCGGCGTGGACATGCCGAAGCTACAGACTTTACATGCGTTGCTGAAGAGCATGCAGAAAGTGAGAGAAGAGAGGAAGGCAAAGGAGAAGCTATAGAGTAGGTCAATTCACATTGTAAAAGGTGTATATGTTCAATAGTGACATATTTTCAGGTCTGTGTAATCTAAAATTAGAATTGGACAGTATTTGCTGTCAGCGATTCCTGAGGTTACAGATGGAGCGATACGTAAGCTGCCTCTTGACCTTCTGGAGCAAATGGCGAACCGCGCACTGCCCAGACCACATCTGGCACCGCTAGTCGTACTGGATTACTGTTGTTCATAGGGTAACCTCATCTACCCCTATTCTATACCTAGATTAGCGATGATTCTTAATATATTTATCCAACGCAACGTATGGGGCTTATCGTTTGTAGGCTTCCTATGTGGGTGATTCATACGAAATCGCATGAATGTGTCCCTAAATTATTTTTGTTGCATGGACTTTTCCCTCTCGCCGCGCCAACTTCGTGGCATGAACGCATTTAGGAATCGATGACGGTTAGGTCTAAATTACCCAATTGTTAGTAAACTTGCATTTTACATCATTATCTTGGCAAAATAGAAAATAGAAAGGGGGTTCTTTCCTTTAAAACATCTACTTACGCATTGGTACGGTTCTTGGCAATGTGATAAACCTCGAGCACATCCTTGGTCTTTTTATCGTGGACCTTGGTACTATGTTTGCGAAACTCTTTCGGCGTGGCAATAGCATGGATATGGAAATGGGGAACGCTATGATCGGGCGATAAGTGCAGACCAAACGTAAAGTCGTCGGCCCTGAGGGCTTGTGCCTTCTCTTTCATCTTCTCAAAATGCCCCATTGCAATATCAACATTCCGGTCCCGCTTCCTAATCATTTCCACCTGGTGATCTAAGACTGCCTGGCGAAAACTTGGGTCATTATCCCAACTCGTTTTGAATAGATCTATGCCCTGAGGAATGATATCCGCATTGGTTGAGTCTAGCGACACACCATTGAACAGATTCTCCTTGGATATAATTAGTACATGGATCAGCGACATACCCGCCTTGTGTTCCTCGCCCTTTGTATATTGCCGGATATCAGGAGACGCTTCATTTCTAATGATAATGACCTTGTCATTGTGGGCGAGAATTTTATCTTTCCAGTCAGTGAACGGCGTTTTCTTCTCGATCCATCTTAAACCTTTATACCCAGGAGGCTTTGTGTATTGATGATTTTCCGCATTTTTATAGTATGCATCGACGTCTGAGCGGGCTGATGGGTACTTCCAGAATATTTCAATCTGTTTCTTGATTTCTCGACGTTTCCCGACGAAAATCTGGCTTGACTGCGAAGCTCCCATGGTTACGTACGACTCGGTTATTCGATAGTTCGTTCTCTGGCGATGGCTACACTTGCTGTTACTGTCACCGATACATCTACAATTTCCCACAGATCTATAACGACGAAGTCAACTCTTTTTACGTCATGTTCTTTTCTACTTCTCTTTGTCCTTGTGAGGGGCCCATAGAGGCGACGAGACAAAGAACTGAAGTCGTTTCGTCATTAATTGACCCCTGAGATACATTCATAAAGAAATACGATAATAGAAAGGACGCCACAATGATTAACCCCATTTGCATTCACTAAAAGAGGTCATATGCAAAGTAAATCATGGGGTTGTCTTTTTAGGGATTTAAAGGTAGTCAGATTCTCTCTATATATCTAGTAGTGTCTAAATACGTCTTCAAGTAGCTCTACAGTTAATAGACCATAGATTGACCAGTCCACTGATGATCCTACAACTCTATGGCACCTATCTACTGAGAACGTGGCCTACAACTTCTAATGCATCCTTAGTCTTCTCGTCGTGGGCGAGGGTACTATATCTACGGAAAATCTCTGGCGTGGCGATAATATGAAGGTGCAGATGGCCGATGCTGTTATCTGGCCATAAGTGTAGACCGAAAGCGAAGTCATCCTCCGTGATTAGATTGATCATGCTTTGTAGCTCACGCCAATGACTCGCCGCAACCTCGAGTCTCGCGTCATCCGGGGCGGCATTGTTCCGGCTCTCGATGGCACGTCTCTGGTGTTCTAAGACGGCTTGGCGGAACTGAGGTCGGCGCCATTCAACCTTGAATAGGCAGATCAATCTCCAAATGATACATACGTTGTCGAAACCCAGCGACACGCCGTTGAACAAGTTCTCCCTAGGAATACCTAGAATATGGATCATAGACATACCTGCTTGTGCCGGGTTTTCTGGGTACTGGACGACGTCGAATGATGAATGGTTACCAATTAAGAGGCAATGTCTATTGTAGGCCAAGGCCTTACCTTCGTTTACTGGGTTGAGTTGCCAATCAGTGAAAGGTGTCGTTGCTTTGATCCATTTGTCTAGTCCACCGTACTGGTGCCCTGTAATTCTTTTTTCGTACGCCTCGATGTCCGCGGCGGCGCAGGGGACGTTCCAGAAGTTTGTATACTGCCGCTCAATTTGATCAAGTTTCCCTGCGAAGATACGATTCTGAAGACCTTCTCGGTTGGCCAGATTTCCTCGAGAAGCCGCCATGGTTATATGTGCTTTAGTTTTTCTATTGTTATTACTGTGGATTGAACTATTTCTCCTTCACAGCTCCACGATGTCGGGGCTGACTTTATATACATGGTGCTCTTTTTTACTTCTCTTTGTTCATGCGAGGGGATTGTGGTATTACAAAACAAAGAAGTCCTAGTTGCTTCGCCATTTACAAATTAGAATCGTTGAAAACTACCTGTTATTCTTCTGGATGGACAAGACATGGAAGTAAGTCACTAAAGGGAAGCCAGCTTGGGAAGAAGCTTGTGAAAGTGACTCCGTCGATTTAAACAATTTTATCCATCATCAACCATATATACAAAGCGCGAGGGGAGTAATGGGTCTGTATACTATTTGGCACCTTCCTTTGAGCGGCTTTAGGAACCGAGATTTTGTTTCTGAGGCACTTGCCTTTCTTCCGCTGCTCCCTTCCAAGATATATATAGCACAATTAAAACAATGACTTTAATGCTTGAATAAAATATCTATGAAGGTGGATAAGGAAGACATCATATGGTTCCTAGGCCAAGCCCATCCTCATAACGCCATTCACATAGCCGTCAAACCTATTGCATTAAGTTACCTAGATACCTACGACTGGTATAACCCTATGAAATCAATGCGCCTCAGCTGAGTTTAGTTAGTAAACATAGTGTTGACATGAAATCCCATAAAGATTACCTCTACTCGGTAACTACCTAGGTAGGTACTTGATACGCACAGAACCCCTATTTTTGAAATCACCCACAGCCGAACCTCTTTACCAAAGTCCGCCTATATTTTTCGCCGGTAACGCGACTTTGTAAAAACCTCACAAATAAAAATATGCAATGCACCAATACCAAGAAGATACCTACATATAGAGCTATTTCAGTCGTTATGGGTGAGTTCTTAAGATATACATACCTGAGTACCTAAGTACCTTCCTCGCAGAGTTATATGGAGATTCGCCTAACACAAAAAATAGTTGTATTAAGGGGCCTGAAATAACTAGGGAATACCATATGTTACATAAGCCTTTGTCATTGTTAATCCAATTGGTGGTTATCTAGTGTCAAAGTTATGATATCTTTTGGAACAAATAAATTGCAAACTAGAAGATATCGTGATCTTCTACACTCGGTCGACTAATTTTGACTAGGTCTTCTACTCGTTAAACCCGCACAGATATTCGGTGGTAAGTTATAAACGGTAGATGGTGATATTCAGGGAACATATTCGTAGCTACCAATGGAGCCCTCTATCCACAACCAGCCAATCAGTACGAGAGGGGTACCCCAGATTACGCCCCTAGTCACCAAACTTGGGCAGGGAATTATCGCGGTATTCGTAATGGATCCTGACACCACAAATACTACAACTATGGCTATTTCCGCCTAGGGCCACTATCTTCTGATGTCAACGTTCTTACCTACTAACCATTACAATCCTTAGTATCTCCTTGGCACATAACGTACCTAGGCAGTGCGCCACCACAATATTCAACCGCTTAGTTCACGATTTCGCGGTTCTCCTCAAGAGTATTGTGTCTACTCCAAATTTTTAGGCCTTCACCGATTTTTCAGCGTTTATTTCCATCTTAGAAGTCATTTAGAGCGACTATTTACCTACGTACTCAACATGGATACAACCAAAGGTGAAGATCTAGAGCCTACGCAGAACAAACATGAAGGCACACTCGGTAGCTCCGACGAAAAAAGTCTAGGGCTTGAGAATGATGAATTTCATATTGACCCAGCCGTTGAGAAACGAGTTCGGAGAAAAATAGATCGTGTGTTGGTTCCTTTGGTTATGGGACTCTGTAAGCAATTTGCGCCTCCCACTTGAACAGGAACAGCCTCGTCACTCATCTTCGCCTATTAGACTTGGTCGCCTTCCTAGATCGTTCGAATATTGGAAATGCACAGACAGCTGGCATGTATGTTTGCTTTTTTATGAGTTATATTCGTCGCTCTTGTCCATATCGCTAGCCGACAGGAAACGTTCCGTCGGATGGACCCCCGCTATCAGACCGATTTCAAGCCACTCGGCACTATTTGTCCGAAAGAAACTCCAGATCAGCAGTACTGACTTGTGTTCTTCTCCGCGCAGGGGTAAGGACCTTGGATTTGACGATGCCCATTATCAAGTTCGTATTCAAACCCTATCTAGCATGAATCACATCATACTAATGCTACTGTGCTGTAGTGGCTTTTGACCATATTTTACATACCGTATAGTGGGTTTCCCTTCATCATGTTAAGCTCAGCCGGCTTAAGCCTACTTCATCGGTTATTAACGTACTGTCGTAGTCGTCTTTGAATGGGCTGCACTGATGTGGAAGGCCGTGCCACCGTGAGTTACCCACCTTGTGGCAAGTAATTACTTAGGTAACTTTGCAACTAACACGCGAAAATAGTCATAGTATGGCTAAAGAATCATTATACTTATCTAAATCTATGCGAAGTACTGATTCATATCATAGTTTGGGCTGGTAGTTGTGTGCTCGTATGGTAGGCCATCTCTTCTCACATATACCTAGGTACCTACATGTTACACGCGGATTGAGGACTAATTATTATGTAGGGGGCTGGCTTCAACACTGCAGGCTGCGGCCTTCAATTGGTCTGGCCTGATGGCGTGTCGTTTTTTCCTCGCAATGGCTGAGGCAGGCTACGGTCCCGGAGTTCCGTATCTACTTTCTTTCTTCTACAAACGACACGAATTGGGGTTTAGATGCGGTATCTTCCTCTCTGCTGCTCCTTTAGCCACAACTTTCGCGGGGGCGCTAGCGTATGGAATCACTTCAGGCCATCCGGCACATATAGCTAATTGGAGGCTCCTCTTCATCGTAGAAGGGATACCTTCGGTCTTACTAGCTGTTCTTGCCTTCTACCTTATGCCAGATTCGGCTGAGACAGCTAGTTTCTTAAATGAGGAAGAAAGGAAAGTTGCTAAGCTTAGGGCTATTCAGCAGACGGGAACTGAGGGAAGTTCACGTATAGGACATGTCAACTTCAAAGATGTGTTTATGTCGCTTAGGGATATTAAGACTTGGATACCACCTTTAAGTGAGTACAACTTATTAATAAATCTTTTTATTGTAATTAGAATTGCTAACCCCAATCTTTCATAGTGTATTTCAGTTGTAACGGTAAGCCTCGAGTCATTGCCCCTTTCCATCTCATTTAAACCAGCTACCTAACTAGGTACCTACCAGTTTCTTTTAGCAGTCTTCCCGTGTTTCTCCCCGCCATTCTGCAGAACATGGGTTTCACCGCAATCAACGCGCAGGGCCTCAGCGCGCCTCCCTACTTCCTATCCTTTCTCGTGTGTATCGGTACGACCTGGATCGCCGACCGCACGCGCCAGCGAGGCTACATGATCATCGGCCTCTCCCTCCTCGCTGGCATCGGGTACGTCCTCCTCGTATCATGCAAAGGCGTCGCAGTGCGATACGCAGGTGTATTCCTCGCAGCCGCCGGCGTATTTCCCGCGATTTCAAACATCCTACCCTGGACTGTGAATAATCAAGGTTCGGACTCGAAGCGCGGCGCCGGAATAGCGCTTTTAAATATCGTGGGACAGTGTGGCCCGCTTTTGGGAACTAGAGTGTTCCCCACACGTGATGCGCCGTATTATGTTACGGGTATGGCTGTCTGTGCGGGTTTTATGTTCTTTAATGCTTTTCTTGCGCTGGTCTTGCGCACGTATCTCGCTTGGGAGAATAAGAAGTTTGAGCGTGCTGATGAGGAGGCGCGACAAGCGGGTTTGGATCCTAGATCTGGTGCTGTTGGACTAGAGAATGAGGGTTATGGGTTTAGGAACTTCTTGTAAGGAGTCCTTTGCGGTGGCCAAATGACAAAAGCGGGAATGGAAAAGCGACGATGATTCATTAAATGATGAGTACCGTAAAGGAGTGAATTAGCATTCATTGATGGATGGGTTATGAGATACGTTCAATACAATTGTAAGAATTCCACCATCCCTTTTGGGTAGTTATCAGTGATATTTTCTCCTTGGTGGCCAGCTTAATAGCCACACAAGTCCCTCATCTACCTTACGCAACAGGAGCAACAGCCGCAGCCGCACCTCTAGTATCATCATTCCCCACCCTCCCATATGTCGTACCATATCGCTCCAACATATGTTCTTCAGCTGTCAAAGCCTTCTTCACTCCGTCTCCACCACCACTACCATCCAGCGGCGCCAACTCCACATCCGTATTCCCATCAAAGAAAAACGGCACCGAGTACCGATCTTTCCCACTGCGGTTCACGACGCGGTGTATAGTGCTCCGATATGCGCCACGCGTCCAGAATGATAGCATATCGCCGATGTTGACTACGTATGCGTCTGGGTTCGGCGTTACGCTGACCCAAGATTGTGTGTTTGGGTTTAGGACCTCGAGACCGCCTGCCGAGTCTTGGAGGAGGAGGGTGATAGCACCTAATATGCGAATTAGGGCGCCGACATCTAACATAGTAAGAAAAAAGAAGGGGGGTAAACCTACCAAAATCCGTATGCGCGCCGGCTCCTAATTGCCGCGAATCTGTCGAATCCTGTGGCGGGTAGTGCAACAAGCGAATAGCGCAGACGGGATCTCCCGAGATGAAGGGAACAAAGATATCATTGCCGTATGGTAGTCCTCGCGCCAAGATACCCATGATTCGGCACGATAAGTCAAATATGGTACTGTAGTACGTCTCCGTCGGGATCTTGAGTGCGGCGTCTGGGAGACTGTCCGGGAAGATGTTTGGCCCAATTAAATAGGGGTGGGCTTGTGATCGTGGATCCGAGGCTGGGATATGTTGGCCGACGAAGAAGCCCTGTTAGATGTCGGTATATAGTAGAGATGGTTGTGATATAGGGGTGGAGTAAAATTGGGATAACTGGATGCATACCTCCTTTAAATCGGGCAAAGAACCCTCTTGCAAAGCCTATATTAATCCAGGAGAAGGGCTTAGCGAAGTCTACCTTACTTGATAGTATTTAATATCCCTAACCTGAGATCCGATGAGTTCATAACCTCTATTCTTTAGAATAGGCGGTCGTAGTTTTTTCTTTTCTTCAAGCGGGAGCGCGAAGAATGTCTCGGCAGCCTTGAAGACAGCATCCTGCAATTCTTTCGGTACTCCATGGTTGACGATTTGAAAGACTAACAATTTTTAGCAACTATTCTAGTAAGTTATATCTATGAGATGCTAAATACGACTCTTCGTTCTTATGTTTCGTGATTAGGTATCCGAAAACTGGAAAGACTTACAACCACTCGTAACACAAGCTTGTCGTACCTCCTCAACTACCCGGGCAGATTCCGCCGAGGATGGGTCGTTAAGGAACGGAGATATGTCAATTGTCGGTATCACGAACTCCGCCTCTGCCATTGTAGTTACACATTCGAGACTGCTTCGCTAAAATTAAATCTGTTAGATTTTTAATAATGAAAGCCAATTAGTGATGATATCGGGATGATACTTCTATGATAATAGTCCAATATACTTCAGATAAGTAGGTAATGAAGGAAGCCACAATATTCGAGTAATCCACCCATTCTTGACATCTCCACGAAAGTGGGAGGGAAACTCGTACATGGGTGTTATCAGCGGGGATTGGTTACTGCAGAGCGCGCCGGCTACCGGCTCCGAATCGGTTTCATATCAAGTTTCCAGCAAGCTATTTCGAGCTCTCATGATGGACAATTGGCACGAAATACTAACTATACGTATCATGAAGGACCGGCTCACAGTATTCACCAATGGTTCATCGCTTGATATCATTATATTGTTACACACTTGGGGTTCCCAGCAACGATTCACTTAATCTTACAACGCCCGGCAGACATATTATGCGAATATCCCATAAGTTCCAGCCGCCTTGGGTCCTGAGACCATACGTGTATGCTTATACTCTAAGAGTAAACTGCCTCCTTGTTTGAGTACTCATGCATACAATCATACGAAGCTGCATACCCGAGTACTCGTGGTGTAACATCGGACTAATTCCGTTATATTCTGGTTATGCTGATATGACCAATACCTTTTACTTCCCCCCACTTCTGTTTTTGCGACGGTTCTTCTTTTTCTTTTTGTTACCTGTAGGTGTTGTTGAAGACGTACCGTCCGCGTCGGATGGTGCGCTAACAGTGGATTCTTCCTGCTCTTCTCTTTCACCCTCGGATACACTACTAGATGCTTCGAGGATGACTTTACGAATGCCGCCGGATTCGACAATATTTTCAGTGATACTACCGCTGCGTACGTGACCTCTTCGTCGCCCAATAGCATCATGAATGCTCTCTACACTCCCTGTCGCAGAATCTTGCGTCGGGGATGTGTCATCTTCAACCACGGCGCTAAGCTTGGTCTGCGTACCTTTAGTCGCTTGATCTGAAGTCTCGCCTTCAAAGCTAGTTACGATATCGGAAGGACCATTGGAAGAAGGCTCCGTGTAACTTTGTTGAAGGGCTTGGATGCCGTCTTTGGCGTTGAGTTGAGGCCCGAGGAGACTTGTACGTTCATCGACAATTGCTATAAGATCGTCCCCATTCTCGCCTGTCGTAACTGAATTAGATCGTTGCCGAGTGCTCGAAGCTGAAGTCGCTGCAGGTTTAATTTTAACCGCGGCGACTCGTGTGCTTTTCGGATTAGAAGCGGGATTAGACGGGCCAAGGTGTTTGAAGTGATCCCTCATTTCTTCCAAGTTGGCCTTAATTGGTATCGTGGTCTGTACCAATTGACCATCTTGGCCTGCCGAGCGTCTTCGCATCAATAATGTCGTGACTTTTGGGCTAGAACCTAAACCAGATGCGTCTGTCCTACTACCGACGGATCTGTCTCTTTTAGATTGAGATAGATGACCATTTTCTTCGTCTATGTCGATCAATGCCGCATTCTTGGCTTCCAGGTCCCTAGCCATGAGCTCTTTTCGTAAAGCGCGCGCCTTAGGCGCTGGATGAGATCTACGAATGGCTTTGTGAACATCAACATAGACATCGGACTCGTCGATAATCTCTCTATTTCCTGGTTAGTAACGATGGATGGTATGATACTTATGAAGGGAACTACTAACTCTCCGATGAGTTCCTCGATCACATCTTCGAGGGTAACGACACCTAAAGCGCCATGATCGTCGCCAGGGGATTCTGAAATGAGTACCATGTGAGATTTTCCTTCCTGGAAGAAGTTGATTATGTCGAGACAGCTGGTTTCCGGTCGGGTCTCCGGAAGGGCGGCGAGGGCAAAGTCTCTAACTCTTTTACCATCTTCGGGATCGTACGTGATGAGAATCTTGACCAAAAGCATACCAACAAAGTTTGTCGGGTTTCCGGTTTGATGGATCGGAATGCGAGAATAACCGGCATCGAGGATTCGATCGATAGTCTCCTCATCTAGTACGGTATCCTCCGCCATGACAAAGACATCCTCCATGGGGGTCATGACCGCCTCAACCGCCTTGCGTTTCAAATCCAGAACAGCGCTGATGATTGTTACCTCATCCTGGTTTAGACGTTCATCAACCTCACCTAGCGATTTGTGGAGTGTGACTAGAGTCTTCAACCCGCTCTTCTTGTATACAGTTCCGTGATCCTCGCCTAGTAACCAATCGAGAAGCTTCGCGGTGGGCCATGCGACGGGTGCGAGTAGGTACATCATAAGTAGAACAGGCTTGGACATATATCCACCGATTTGGAGGCCATAACGAACGCATACGGATTGCGGCAATATCTCACCAAAGATGACTATAGAATGAAGTGCGCGTTAGCTAACGCGTAATAACGGTCTCGGGGTATGAGGTTTTCCTACCAATAAGAACGGTACTTCCGACCACGGCAGCAATGCCACCGCCAAAACATCTGTCTAGCACTACAGGAAGGGTTTCGTTGACGATAACGTTGGACAATAGCAATGTTACCAACACCCAATGTTTACCCTTCTTAAGGAGATCGTAGACACGCTTAGCGTTCTTTCTTTGCGGTTCTTCGATGTCGAGGGATATGACTTGTAGATATATTTCGTCTTGGCCCATAAGAGCTATTGTCAAACCGGCGAAGGCACCTCCTAGGAGTACGAGGACAATGGATACCACGTAGAGTACCCAGAGGGCACTTCCTTCAGCTTCTTCGGGAGCATTGTCGCGAGTTGTGTAAACGCCTGTGGGAGCAGCGAATGCTGCGCCGAGGGAAAGGAATATGGCCCTAGATAGACCAAGAACAGCCGTGCGAACGCGAAGAATACCGTCGTTCCTCATGGTCGTCCTAGATCTTGATAGGGAAACGGATGGATAGAAAGAGGCTACTATGCGATATGTTTTGAAGGTTATTCGGACGTACACAATCGATAGGTAAAGACAGTTTCAGAGTTTCTATTAAGGATGAAGATAGGTACTTGTGTAGATGGTAATTATTTCCGCGATACCTCGGCCGAGCAATCAAAAAAAAAATGTCGTACTACCACCAAATTCGTTCGCTTAATAAGTAGCCATGAATACCGTTCAAAAGACCATACTATCCATTTAGAAGCTTAATAGGAATGAAAAGTCGGTACGATAAGAAGGAAGCTAACTGATTGCTTTCGCAACGAGTTGCTGTGGTGTCGTCGGACCTCCTGTTGAAGTGAGGGAGCGGGATGAATTGAACGGTGCCGATGACGAAGGGAAACCTTTGGAAGGTTTGCTCAATTGAGAAAATGAATTTAATTCCTCGGGGGCAGGAAGGTGAGCTCTTGTGGGGCACCCTCGGAAATCGGCTCACAATTATTACTGGATACTTTACTAACGTACCTACGTATATATGTACAAGGATGGTTGGTGGGGGGAGTGGGCTGCAGCTACCCTTGAGCATATGAATGACGATAGTGGCTGGTATTCCCTCCAAACATGTGGCTAGATTTTAGTTTAGCTGAAATTATCAAGTCGTACAAGTCGTAGTACGCGCATGTGGTGTAATCAAATAGGATCGTCACTTAAGAAACCTAAATTTTCTTTTCTTTTTCTTTTTCTCATTGGGGGCCAATAAGCTACATGTATTCCTCATATTCACTCAATTCTTCTTCTAGTCATACCATATCGCATTCATACCAAATCCTGGCTCAGGAATCCTACATCTTGCAACACGACCTAAGAACTCGTCTTTCCACCGATATATTTCAATCCAACCATCCTGATCATCTGTAATCGCTATCCACTCTTCGCTCCAGTCGCACGGCGCCACTGCATTGCTATGTCCACCACTCGTTGGAGTAGGATTCAGACAAATTTGCTTCTCGATCGATCCACAATCCCTGAGCCGAAACGCCGCTATGTAGCCCTGCAGGTCGAAGCTATTGGCTCGACTCGTCGCAAACAGATACTTGCCCGACCTTGTAAGAGAGCATACGTCGCTGCGATACATCGAGTCGTGCTTCGGAATTCCCGGTGGAATCAGAGGATATGAGTGGTGTGTGTAAACGGGCATGTGTGTTGCCGGGTCGATAACATATTCGCAAAGTCGATTACCGGCCTCCATGAGAGCGTATAAGTAATTCCCCGTCGGGTGCATGGCCACCCACCGCGGGTGATCCTTGGGATCGGGCGCATCTACACTTCCTACCAGCTCCACCTCCCCCGATGGTGCCTTCTTGTGTACCCATAGCTTGTTGGCTTTTAAGTCGGCAGAGTAGAGGTAGGTTTCTGTCGGATCAAATACCATACCGTGGATGCCTGTTTTCGGTTGATATGGATAATGTTGTATATCCTTTTCGAGAGCACCGGTGGACGACACGGAGAATACCGATCCATGTCCGGCATGAGTATAGAACGGGTTGCAGTATACGGCGTACGGAGGCTGTTTCGCGGCGAGTAAAAATATGGCCCGGGTGTTGGTCGTGGCCAAGCTTGCTTGAGCTATGTGCCGAACATCAGGGGTCAATTGCCGGGCAGGTTGGTTGGCTGGCCTATGCGAAACTTACGATCATGGTTCATGGGATGCGACGCTTCGTGAACGATTTCGGTCGGACTCTTGACAGCGAAACTGGACCATTTCTTCATGGCTGCGCCGTATATGTTCTTCTTGGCATGCTAAGATGACATAAACGTGAGTATACGTGGAATTGATATGAACCCGGACCTGAATTTGGCTTACATCAAAAGTCATCCACGAGATGGGCTCATTGTGAGGGATTTCAGTTCTCTTCACCAATTCCAATGTTAATTTCTCATCGTCGAATGCGACAGTGAAGATGGCTCCCGGTGGAGTCCATGTTCCTATCATCAAGTGATGAATCGGCATTTTCAACACTTCTCGTGATACAAGTTGGAGGTTTGTCTGATTCACAAATTATGACCGATGATTATTATCGACTCGAAACTATTGGCCGTAATCATAACATGGCATTCTTCAACGAAGACACAAATTAGCTTCAAGCTCAAAGCTGCACATCATATTTTCCCCAATGAATACCTTCATTAAAAAACGGCTAGTAAGCTAGGGGTTTCTACCAAGATCCCCCGCACCCACTTGACGATATCGTTGCCCCTCTCTTTTCTACCTTTCCCCTGTCTTGTATGGCTCGGATGGACGCTTACAGCATAAGCTATAACTTCGATGTGGGGAAATTCCGATGCTTCTTTGCAACAATAGCCACCTTTTCTTTCAAGGAATCGGCACCGGTGGCGGTAAATGGTCACGGCACACGGGTCAATTCTTTACTAGCTCGCTAGCTACCGAGTGGGTGGCTACATGCTGAATCTCCATCTGCCACGCTGCAGTGCCGGGTAAACGCTTCATCGCCAGACTTCCCCGCTATGTCGCAGTTTCGAGCCGCGAAGCTGCAGCAAAAAGGAATAATGATCCGCAGGTTCGCGTTATCAGGTAGACCCTGAATTTGCTATTGGCTCTTAATTTACGGTGATACTTTACCATAAAATATAAAATATCATAACGTACCTCGGAAGCTTACCTTAAAAGCTGAAAGGAACAAGTGTTACATATAGTTAGTACCTATAACCTAAACCTAGTCGAATTTCATGAATATGATGGCTGGCAAAATATGACATCACGGGAGTTATCCCTACATTTATTGGTACATAGTATACTTCAGAAAAAGGAAACTCCTTATGAGGATATCTCGATGAAACCGAAAACTAATTATTCCCCTGATCCACTCAACGGCCACTACATTATATAGCTCCTAAACCCGAGACAACACGCGACTCGGATTTGGAGGTTCTAGAAGTCCACCAAGTCCACCCTTTCCACCCTTTGAAGCGCACTACCTTCCTAAGGGCGATATATCACCCGGCGGGCAAATTGGTTACATCTCACTACCGCGAGGTCAATCCGATCCACATATAGAGCTCTTTCTAAAGACGGCGGGGTTTTTATTTTACTATTCAGGAACCAACCTATCATAGATGTTCCATTGCTCATACGGATGAACATTTGAAGGGATCGATGGCAAAACTTAAATGAGCTCGGAGCTGCTCACGGTGCTCACTCATCCGAAGTAGTCTTCTCCTCTCCTCTTCATATTACTTACTCTTCTTCTCTTGTGAAATATATCTTGCCCATTGTCTGGACGTTAGCCATTGTATATACACTTCCCTTCTTCTATTCGTAAATACCCGTACTGCTAGCATCATACACCTCATCTTCGGAATAATCCACCAACAGTCAAATTCACATTATGGCTCCCTCTGCTACCGGTGTGTCCAACGCGGCACAAGCTCCGAAGCCCTCCCGATTCGACCCTACATTTACCCAACATGTCATTGACACTATGGGTCCCAACACAACCGAGAGAAACCGGGTTGTTCTCTCAGCGCTAATCCGACACATCCATGACTTCGCCCGGGAAGTCGAGCTTACCATTGACGAATGGCTAGCTGGTGTCCGATACATCAATGCCGTCGGTCGTGTCTACTCTGAGTCGGGAGAAACGAGAAATGAAGCTCACCGATTGTCCGACATTCTTGGACTTGAGACGTATGAAAATCCCTGAATTAAAAGAATTGGTGATTTTAGACTAATACGTAAGATATAGATTGGTCGATGAGATCGCGCACAAGATTATCTCCGAAACTGAAGTCGACCCGACCTCCTCCGCCATCCTCGGACCCTTTTGGTCGCCCAACGCGCCGTTCCGCGAGAATGGAGGAACTATCATTCAAGACGCAGCTCCGAACGGACAAGTCGTGCTCATGCACGGTACCATCAGTGATCTAGTGACCGGAAAGCCGATCCCGAACGCCGTCTTTGATATCTGGCAAGCTTCGTCCAACGGAAAATACGATTTCCAGGACCCCAAGAACCAATCCCCGAATAATTTGAGGGGCAAATTCCGCGCCGATGAAAACGGCAAGTATTGGTTCTACTGCTACTATCCAACAGCGTATTCCCTGCCTACCGATGGTCCCTCGTACCAGCTACTGAATATGATGGACCGACACCCCATGCGCCCGGCGCATATTCACATTATGGTGAGTTTCCTCATTTAAACATAATTTACTATCACAGTTACAAGCTCTAATGGACATTGTCATAGGTCACACACCCAGAATACAAGGGCTGCACCACACAACTCTACCCCAAGGACGACCCGTGGCTATCATCCGACACCGTCTTCGCCGTCAAGGACGACCTAGTCGTCGACTTCAAGCCGCTTGAGGGCGACGACAAGGCCAAGCTTGAGCTTGACTACAATGTTATTCTAGCGCCTAAGGATTACAAGGGAAAGTCTTTCTAAATGAAATAGGGTAAAGCAAGATGAAATGAGGGTCTTACCAGGGCTTATGTATATATGAACACTTCGGAGACTTTCATTCTCCTCGTGTATAAGAGGTTCGGATAAGGCGAAGGGGGATGCTGGTTCGTGGTCACGAGCCAAGGAACCCAATTGGGAGTGACGCTCTAAAAAGAGAGACGATATATCCCTTTGTCATGATATAAGGGAATGGGCGTTACGCCTACCAAAATCGGTGGAAATCGCCGAAATAATGAGAAACGTCCACTACGATGACTTCAAAACATATCAGGCCCCTCTAGTGTGTGTTTACGAGTAAGCTTGAAAATACACATTGGCAATGCTGTTCCAGGTTGGAAGTATTAATACACATTAAGTATACTACACTAACACAACAATTACCCCCAAAGCCCATCACTTCCCACCGACAACAACAAGCGCACGTTAGTCAACAAGCCGATTCCTTAGGTACTCCTTCAACCCCAACTTGATATCGTGGTGAAACCTCTCTCTTATTACAATTAAGAGCAGAAGGCAATGCCATCAGAAGAATCCATACAGTACTGTCTAGGTGTGCACTGTTCCTTAATAGCCCAGTGTCCATCCTGATCACAAACTTCGACGGTTGGGCCGGCGCACCGTTGAAAGCCTAGCTTGGGGCATTCCTCAACCCTGGCGCTATAAAGTGCTTCCGATCGAGCGAATAGAGCGGCCGCGCTGCTAGCTTGTGCTGAGTTGTCGAAGTCGCATTTCACGCGTGTGTTGTAGAGTTGCTTGCAGTTGGGGCACTTTGATAGGTGAGTTAGTATTACTTCTGCAGAATAAGATATGTGTCTTAGGAGACTTACCGGACCGTAGTCTTCCCATTGACGCTCAGCAGAGCAAACCGAGATTCGGTCATTGTCACATCGTACCTCACCACCAAAACATGGATTGTCCAGCGCTACACCGGCGGCCGAAGCTACAGACGGAATGGGGGACGGAGTTGCTGATGGAGTCGGGGTCGGGGTCTCAGTCTCAAGAGGCTGGCAGAAAGTGTCATCTACACCATTGACACATTCGGAGCATTGCTGGATGCGGTCCCAAAGGCGTTGGGCATTGCATAACTCGAACCAATCGCCATCACATCGACGGTCACCTTCATTGCACTGGGGTGGGGCGGTAGGCTGCGGTGGCAGCGCTGTGGCCGGCGCGCAACTGACGGTCCCGTCGTTGTTGTCGACACATTCAATACACTCTTCAGCAAATTCCCACAAATGGGTTTTTTCATTGTAGATTTCCTCAGTGTTACCACTGCATCGCCTGTCTCCGGTGTGTGGTGTAGGAGGTGGCTGAGGGGCTGTTGAGGTCGCGGTTGTAGGGGCGCAGTTTACGGAGCCGTCATCGTTAGTAACACAGGCATCACATTGCTGGAAGTGTTGCCAGGTACCGAATGCGTCGCAGAGCTCTTCCCAGTCGTTATTGCAGCGTAATTCGCCCTCAACACACCGGGTCTGGCGGCCGAGAAGGGCCCCCTTCCCGTCGTTGCCATTGAAACTATACTTCTTTGCGGAGCCGGGTTTGAAGGTCCGAGTTGGAGTTAGACTAGGTTCCGGCGTCGAGACCGGGGTAGGGATGCCGATGGTGCGCTTCTTCTTCAATTCCAATTCCGGGGGAGCAGAGGAAGTAGTATCCTCGTCACACCAAGCTTCGCTGGTAGCTTCATTCTCGTTACACCACGATGGAAAAATGCAGAGACTCTCAGCCGTCCACGTACCACGGCCGTTACAGTAGTACACGGTGTTGCGATCACAAGTCCGTTCGCCGTGTTGGCAGGGGTGGTTGCTGAAGACAGGCTGTGACCGAGCCGACTCAGAAACGCGAGCTTGAAGGGTAGGAAGTATAACTCCCAGGGCCGGGGATGACAGGCCCAGGGTGGCCAGAAGAAGATATGAAGAATGTATCATGGTGGCAGTAGACAATGAAATCTATATGGACTGAACTGACTGACTGGAGGAGTTATGAGCAGGTTGGAAGGAAGGTAATCGTGAATTGTGTTATACGATATCAAGATGACAATTGCCTGAAAGTAATACCAAGAATGAATTGACCTTAATTCAAACGTACGAGCGAAGCGAAGCAAAGTTGAGTATATGTCCGTTTTTGCTTGCCTCCTAAGATATGACCCAAGAAGTAATAATGGATGGGGGATATGGATGGTCTTGGTATAAGTCTGATTGAATAAGAATTTAACTGGGTGATGGGAAGAGATGGGCTTTTGTAAAGAGGAAGAGAACGAACGAGGTAGTAACTTCTTACCTTTAATTGAGTTAGTAGTAGGAACGCCCTCAATTTGAAATGTCTCCTTCCCACCTATGCCGTTACCACTCAACGTTCATTCCTGCCAGGTGACTTTAGAGTTAAGCGCCATCTCTACCGAAGATATTAATGAAGCGACGTGGAGGCTCTTGCTCATACCCTTCTAAATAACCTAGCTATTATGGAAGGGACGATGAAGATACCCAACCCTTATCTTTACTTGGTTGCCGTCCTTTTAAATTCAGCACAGGCGCATCGTGAAGTCCGAAATGCATTGTCCAAATTCTTGGATTGCTCTTCCCTCTTCTCGCTTTGAGATCACGAGTTGGGAACGATGGAACATTTTATAAACCTCAATAACGTGGACGTTCTTATTAGTCGTTTTCCCTAGATTATTAAGTCCGAAGGTGAGTTATGGTGCGATCACCATCTCATCTTCAGAGTAGACTTCGGGCGACATGGCACGTCCCAAAGATTGAGCCAATTGCCGGGTTCAAATTTTAAGGCGAAGATAAGTGCGCCTGGGCGAATAATTTTACACTTTGAATTGATTAATGCTGAACGCATGTTATCGTCTCCTGCGGAGTCGTTTAAGAAACCAACGATATCGATATCGCAGTCTGTATTACGACCACTGCCTTCCTCTCTCCCTCAGCACACTAAGAATAGTGAGCTATCTGTATCATGAATTGGGCTTATACTCACTGCTTAGGCGGAACTGGTATTGGCCTTGATTGATATCTGAATTGAAATCTTCACTAATTGAGTACGAAAAGTTTCATGGATACAAAGCACTGGGAAGTTCGAAAACCTACGCTCTTACCTGCGACCGCAATCGCAGCTGTAATTAACTTCAGATTAGGGGACCATTTCCTTGTGTCGGACCTGTAGAGGACAGTGTTCCAATATAATTTTTCTTCTTTGAAACCAATCCTTCTGCAAGCCAGATTGGCCGCGTAAGCTATGATGGTCCACCGTACCGTCCTACCTAGGTGTATGCGATTTGTTTGGAAGTTGGTGGAACATGTGAAACTCTTGTCTTCCTTATAGCTTACCACCGCAATCATCGTACGGCTTCCAATCAACTAGTTATCTATAACTATTTTCCTTGATTTCTCCGACTTGGCAAATTTCTTGGGTTTTTATCTTGTGATCCCTTAGCTTGAAAGAGTGGTGTGTCTTGTGGTTAAGAGAGACTACCCAGGTAATAGCCAAGATGATTAGTTTACTTTCAAGATTAGGATGCGTTTAGCTTTACAGAGCAAAGGAAGAACATGAAATCGACTTACACATGTGATATGAGAGTAAAATGTATCATGAGATTCCAAATGAAGCATTAACAAACGAATCAAAATCATTAAGGCCAATTAAGTTATTTTAGATTACCAATGTTTTATACACTGAGGTATGAATGTACTGTGAAACTAAACAAAAAGGCTTATTATTATTACCCTTCCGCCAAGAAAAGTGTAACCCCGCATCTTCAGCTACCTTATTTGCTATCCTAGGCGGGTTAGTATCCCCAATTTCCCCCAAATCCCCCCATTGTTTAGCGCTACCCTCCTTCTACCTACAGTGGAATGGGGTTCTAAATTCTTTCGTCATACGCAATAGCATTCGGAAGTTATAGCCCATCGAGCCTCACAACCTATACCTTCCTATTCTCCTAACTTGTCGCATTGTGCCTACCATGATCAACCTAAGTTAGACTAATTGGGTAATAGGTATAAGTTAGTTGAAGATAATGTGTTGTAACTGCTGCTCGCCTATCTTTTGAGTGACAGGGATGTTCCCTTGTTCGGCGACCCGTGATCACCTCATCAAGGACCCTCAATCCTAATAACGATCCTCTTTACCTCTTTTCTTTCAATTCTACAACTTTATTTGTTTTTGACATTTAATGTTAATTTATCAAACATCTACTACAATCAGACTATATATTATATAATTAAACATATTCAGATATATCGCGCTCGCGCGCAAACTATTCCCTATCGTTGGGGCGTTTGCTTGTGTTGGTGTCGCCCGTCGCCGCAGTTGCTGCTGTCGCGGCGCGCGCTGCGCTGAATCTCACCCGATCGACATACATCGGTCGTGCGCGGCCTAACAGCCACAATCACAGCACATCATGGCCACTATAGCACCAACGGTGACGGAGACTTTATTGTCGACCGTTACTGTATCAAGCGCTCCAGCTGCTACTACGACCGGTCCCGCCCCTCAAGGAGGTATCTTGGAAGGTGTTCTGCCGAATACGTTCATTTCTTCGAATCCTATTCAGCTCTTCATCATTCAGGTAAGATGCCACTATTGTTTTGACCTATTACATTTGTAATCAAGTACGCATTATCTTAATGCTCTAACCGTAGAAGAGATTTCGGGTGTATAAAATTTTAGAAATACTAACTCCTTTGTTTAGGCCGGTATCATCATCATACTATGCCGTATTCTTCACTACCCGCTATCGCTTCTGAACCAGCCTCGCGTCATCGCGGAGGTTATTGGTGGTATCCTCCTGGGTCCCTCCGTTTTGGCTCGCATTCCAGGCTTTCAAAAGGCCATTTTCCCGACTGAGTCTATGGCCGTCTTGAACAATGCCGCGAATCTAGGTCTCATTCTATTCCTCTTTCTCATTGGTCTAGAGGTTGATATCCGCATGTTCACTTCCAATTGGCGCGTCGCTTTATGTGTAGGTCTAGCTGGAATGATATTACCGTTTGGCTTGGGCTGCGCTATCGCTTGGGGTCTTTATAACCAATTCCACAATGATGGCAACACCGCTGATATCAATTTCGGCGTCTATGCTCTCTTCATCGGTACCGCATTAGCCATCACGGCTTTCCCCGTACTCTGCCGTATCCTATCCGAGCTTAATATGCTGGGAACCCCTGTTGGTGTCACCGTCTTAGCAGCTGGTGTTGGAAACGATGTGGTTGGCTGGATTCTACTCGCGCTCTGCGTCGCATTGGTCAATAATAGTTCTGGCTTGACCGCGCTCTGGGTTCTCCTTGTCGCTGTCGGCTGGGTACTGTTCCTAGTCTTTGCCGTCAAGCCAGTATTTCACTGGGCTTTACGGAAGACGGGTAGCATCCAAAATGGTCCGACACAGGGCATGATTGCCGTCACCATCTTACTAGTACTCACCTCAGCTTGGTTCACAAGTAAGTAAAATATTGATTTCAGTCCCCAAGTGGATGGTACTGACTTTTCCTAGGTATGATCGGTGTACATGCAATTTTTGGCGCTTTTCTAGTTGGCCTAATCTGCCCACACGATGGCGGCTTCGCTATTCATGTAACAGAGAAGATCGAGGATCTTGTGTCGGTTCTTCTACTACCCCTCTACTTCGCACTGTCTGGGTTGAGCACGGATCTCGGCCTCCTAAATGATGGTATCACCTGGGCGTACGTGATTGGCGTTATTGCCGTTGCTTTCTCAGGTAAGATCATCGGTGGTACATTGGCAGCTAAGGCAATGAAGCTCGTCTGGAGGGAGAGTTTTGCGATAGGCGCACTGATGAGTTGCAAAGGTTTGGTGGAACTCATCGTTCTAGTAAGTTATTTACCTTAACTAACATAAGTCATTATAGCGTATTTGCTAATTGTTTCTATAGAATATTGGCCTTCAGGCGAGGATTCTATCTAAGAAGACATTTACCATATTCGTCGTCATGGCTTTAGTTACTACAGTGTGCACGACGCCATTGACGAAGTGGCTGTATCCGCCGTGGTACAGGAAGAAGCTCGAGCAGTGGAAGCGGGGTGAAATCGATTGGGATGGAAAACCACTGCAACATGACGACACCAGCCACTCCGATTCTATTGCTCAGATCCAGGATACCAAGATACGCCGTCTTTTGGTTTACCTACGTTTGGATAGTCTGCCGAGTCTTTTCACATTTATTTCTCTTTTAGGCGACGAACACGTTACACCAAGATCCGAGCCCCTAGACTCTGGTGCAAATAAGGATGCTGGTGAAACAGTGGTTATTCGGAAGCGACCTCTCGAAGTCCATGGTCTGCGTATCGTCGAGCTTACGGAACGTACATCATCCGTGATGAAAGTCACTGGAGGCGATGACCATTTTAGGAGAGATCCTGTTTTAAATGCCTTCCGAACCTTTTCTCAACTGCATGACGTGGCGGTATCGGGCAACGTTGTCATTGCCCCGGAAGATTCTTATGCTCGGACCGTCGTCACACAAGCTTCAAACCAAGAGTCCGATTTTGTATTAGTACCATGGAGTGAAGGCGGAAGCAATAAGGAAGACCAATCCATTTCCTTCAGGGTTTCCTCGGAAGACCGCTTTTCAGGAAAAACTCACCTCGAGTTTATCCAAACAGTATTATCCAAGGCTGTTTGTACCACGGGCGTATTCATCGACGGTGGATTTAGTGGCAATCGGCCGGCAGATGAAGGTCGTCCGAGTCTACCTCGGACTATCAGCAACGTTTCGATGCGTAGCCAGAGAGAAGCTGTCATTCCGCCCCTCGCGGATAAATCACACAAGATCTTCTTCCCCTATCTCGGAGGTGTCGACGACCGAGCTGCATTGCGTTTCGTTCTTCAGCTTGCCAAAAACCCACTTATCACACTCACAATCGCTCACTTGAGCTGCGCTGAAGGTGATGATGAAATCGTGGCCGTCTCGGAGGGTAACTTGGATCCTCTCTCACCGATGTCTCTCGATAAGAATGTAATCAACACCGAAATAACTGCCCATGACACGTCTCTCTTAGCCACGCTGCAATCTAACCTTTCACCTGAGCTTGCCGATCGTGTGAAGTTCACAGAAGTTTCAGTTACCGCCAACTCGGCTGTCAGCGAGGTGACCAAGCTAGCGAAGGAGACTGTTGGGAAGAACTTACGTAACGCAGGTGATGTTGTCGTAGTTGGGCGTAGGCATCCTCGACTTCCCGCCGTGTTGCGCTCAATAGACCAGAGCAGTACGGAATACGACATGCAGAAGACTATTGGTGTTTTTGGTCAAGCTTTGGCTATGAGTGATGTAAAGGCAAGCGTACTAGTTATCCAAGCTGGAGGCTCAGGACCCGAATCATGATTTCTTTTATCGGTTCAGATATTGCAAGAGGTAGATTCCCAGACAGGAGTTCCATATACTGATTTTATTTATGTGTATTTAGCCTTGTGTTATAGTATTAACGCGGGTAATTGGGAATGTGGAATTGTATAAAGGATACAGCGGATAGGCACATCGCTCCAGCCTAGCCATACGATACACCTTTGAATTCAATAAATTCATTCCATGAACAAGAACACGAGGATCCCGCCAATGGTATACTACTTATGACGCGAAGAGAATGGAACCTGATAAGCAGCTTTACGCATAACATACCTAACCTGGCGGCTGCTTACTCCGCTCGCCGTGTGCACAGATAGGTAGGTATTTCATGCCTTGTCCTGGCAGAGTGACATCCCATCTGACGGTCAGCGTGTCAGCATCGTCAGCCCTATACAGCACTTACATATGTATGCCGTACCGTACCGGATCATCGGGATATAGTTCTTACTACTTTATCCCACGAGAGCGGGGCGTGGCGTTTCGCTTTTTTTCTTTTTTGCTTCTTTCGCATTTATTATTCTACGGAATGGTCTTTATTCCACCGTATCCGGTTACGATGCGAAATACGAGCGGCCAAGAAGAACAACCACGGCTACGTATATTTCCAACAAGGGTAAAGAAATGCGCTGCCTAATAGCCCGATTTTTGGTTTTAATTCTAGACCATAGCCACAGACATCATTGCTTCGTCCAGTTGACCGATAGCAGTGACGCAATGGCGATATTCGGCCAATCCTAGACGGACGGCGCTAGCGGACTCGTCGTATTCTCCATCGCTTCATCTCGTCGTAAAAAGCAAAAAAGGCCAAGCCCTCATATAAAATTTGGGGCTTCTATCTCCGGGACATTACATGTCTATCAGAGGTGTACGTCTATCCTCTCCGTACTCCGTGCCCTGTCTATTCCTACGAGCTAGTTAGGTAGTTTGATTGTTAATCGGCATCCCAAACCTATCTAGTGTACGAAGCTATTGACCTACCTACATAGACCTAGTTCAAAGGTATCGATGCTGGATCACATTGCGCTGTTGGCATTCGACGCCTTCGCCAGCCAACAATGTGGGGAATAGAGCGAGCAGGCAATATCTCTAAATACATCCATTCATACATGTCTCATGCGTACCTAGCTAACGCCCCAAAGTTTATGGTCAGGCAACCAAATTACTGTATACACAAAAGACCAATCGCAAGGGTCGCTAAGTACCGCCGAATCCTTCGGGATCGGAGGCGACGTAGAATCTCAAAATTCATGATTGGAGTATACTAGATCCATCAATCAGATCACTAACGAAACAGAAGGAAGGGGGTCTAGATACGGAAGAATAAAGGCAAGGAAGCAATTGGACCCCTATACCATCCTCCCGGTCCGTTGGAGTATACTATCTATACTATTTACCTACACACAGACGTGCATTCGTCACCAATGTTTCGAAAGTACCTACTTACCTACCTAACCCATCGTTAGCCTGCCGTATACTCCCACTTTTACGCCCCCATTCGGTCCCGTCGAAGCGGCACGGTTCGTCTGATGTGCTTGGTAGACAATACGGCAGTGATAATGAACAAGAATAACAGTAATAATAGATAATTAACCAACTAACCAACACACATCCGAGTCAAGGCCTAAAACGGGTAGAAGAATCGAAACTTCCTACCTAGTCCCGACTTTTCTGCTAAAACCCGGTCAAAGACCGATTCCTTCTCATTACTTCCTGCTAAGTATGTAGATACTTACTACGCACCGCGCCCCAGGAACTCGGATGCTAGAACTTGTCCGAGATACGCATGTGTATGTCTAGATGTTAGGAGGAATATTTGCATAGACAATGTGCCTTCTATCGAGATACTAAGGTAGTCTCGCCGAAAAGCCATTCACCAATCAATCGATACATTACTTCCTCCACAGTAGACAACTTGAATCGAACGCAAGGGAGGAGAGCGCGTCAGACGCACGTGGCTATGGGCTATTCATAGTGCAGCCGCAGTTGTAGCCGGGTCTAAATGTATTGGTGCGTGCTAGGTACGGAGGAAACTCCCTTACGTGGGTAGAACAGACGAAAGACATATCACACAGACCACATACGTATTTAATCTTGCCACAGGCAGTTGATTGCGAGAATTGTTCTAGAATTAGAGCCGTAATGAGAACTTGTTTTAGAAAACGAGGCGTTGAAACATGAAACAATGTTTGCCTGATATGAAAGGCGGGCTTGGTGAAAAATCGTTAGTTCGGTTCAGCTTAGCTAGCCACAATTCTTGCCATAGATCATGCGTAGGTATATCGTATGTACGTATACGATACGCTTCCTTTGCCGCGGGCAAAGAAGGAGGTGGCTGGCAAATGGGAGATGGGATGAATCAAATCAATCAAATTCATGCCTTCACGATGCGGAGAAGGAAGGAAATAAACGAGACACATGGAGATGCTGCTGTATCACCTATCACGATCTGACTGATTGACAAATGCGAAAGCCACAACGTTTCTACACAAGCAACGGTGGTCGGCGTAGGAGGCTGCTCCGCTAGAGATACCAATCATCCTAATGAATTACGCCAAAGCGGCATGTCGCCGCTCTACATCTACAGCTACAAAGTACCCTACCTACTTCCCCTTGCTGTCATGTGAAAAAAGGTGCCTATTCTAGATTCCATCTCCGTCTTCTATCCCCATATCTCGCTTCCTTCTTGTGTCACTTACCTAGCACCTATTCAGGTAGTCAATCCTGAAGGCAATGACCCGCTATACGTCATGTACGAACATACGCGCTGGGGACCTTGTTTCGCATCTCCGTTCCTGGTTCCGATTCCGATTCCGTCCTCCTTCCCATCTCCACCCGTTACGTACTATAGTAGTATATAAAACGTAGGGAAAAGGGAAAAAAAAAGCAAATAATGCAAGAAGAAAGGAATAAAATTCCCCACGCTTTCGACGGACCGTCACACAATAGGTACGTAGCGCGCCCCAATTCCGCGCTGCTGGGTGGTGGATCCCGACCGTCTGTTCGTTCCATAAAGCCTGTTTTCGTGATAATTATCCCGTTCATATTGTACCTGTCCATGCCCACCATTAGTCCCGCTTCCTCATTGCAATAGTAGCAGCGGCTACGTCAAGCGTCGCCGCGCTAGTTTCAGAACCAAAATCCTCCCATCAGGGCCGAACCATCCATCTATCTATCTATTAGCTAGGCTGCTAGGTAGGTAGGGAAGTTGACGGGTTCATTAGTTAGCCTGGTGGGATGCCGGCGCGTTCCTACTTGTGTATTAGAAACGGAACGCCTCGCCTCGCCTCGCCTTGTAGAATGAAACGAGAACAAAAATAAAAAAAATTGTTCTATTTTAGCTCGCTTTTTGCTGCCGTCCGCGTGCAAGCGCCTCTTACTGGTTGAGCCTAGTCTGGGCCTCTAGAGCTATCTGCTCCGGGCGCGCTGGTAGGAACATTGGAAGATCCTAGTGATAGAGGCGCACCGTGGTAGTGCCGAAAGAATGCGAGTGCGGCTCGCCTTGCCTTCCTTATGGTAACGATTTTCTATCGCCCCACGAGTTTATTTAGGCATTCTTTGCCGGGCAGCTTTCTCGCACGAGTTGTCACAAAATTCGGGGGCTGAAAATAAGAGAAGTGACCAGGCCTCATGGGCCAGACAGCTAGATCTGAGATCCTAGTTCTCACTCATGAGATGGGTTTATTTGTTAAAATCTCTCTAGACCGGAATAGTTTTAGAGAAGGATAGAGATGTAGTAATTAGAGTGGGCAGAAGGATTCTTGTTAGCATCATAATGTAGCGTATGTTATTAAACTCACGCCTTATCTTTCTGCAACGATTAACATGTGCGCCCTGATGATTGCCTAAGGGAAATTGTCCTTCGTCGTACACGAAAATATGCCGGCACTCAAACCGAAAGTCGCACGAGCACACTTGCGAAACGAACATTGCGAACGACCCATCATCGTCATAGATAGAAACACGGCTGAGCAAAAGGTTGTAGTTAGTCTGGGGTAGGTTACGTCGAGCCACAATGCCTATACGGAATCTCGTCTAAGGACGGGATGGGGGCGGTTTGATGGCTTGCAGGCAAAGCAGGCTACGATTTGAAAAAGTCCCGTGTGCACCGAAAAGGGACGCAGTCCTTTCGGTCCCCATCTTCGTCCAGGTCGCTTTGGGAAATACGCCCAGGTTTCACAACATTACAGCCTTCGAAAAAGAGAGAAAATACTACTGACACATTATGGAGAGAGATTGAAGATCGCGGTCTCGAAACCGACTCCATACTGCGACGCTAAAAATCGGGCGCCTCGGATTCCAACTGCGATGCTGTGCCGCACGCGCAATTTGCGATGGCTGCTATGGCGTTGCAATGGTAGCGTTGCGAACTTCCAAGTATGGATCTGCCCCAGCACCACCTGACAGCCTAAGGGGGCACCCAGGTCGGTTTCGTATGCTCCTATGCCACGTTGTTGATCTGATCGGTGGGCTTCGAGATTGGTCGATCGTCCTATTCCGGCAATATTACTCGAAGCTAGGCGACCAACCTAAGGGTCCTTCAGGGGGTATATGTCCATAAATTATTAATCTATTCATGGTAGAACAACTTTGGAATTCCTAGGTGAAGGACGGAAATCATGCGAGCACCAATTCTCTAATGAGATTCGTCATAGGCATGGCGGGGGGCGTCTCCTTGAGACGAGCTAATTCCGCAGATATTGGTATAATAATAATTATGGTGCGTTATGTGGCGTAGTGTATGTTCGATTTGTGATATATCTGCCCAAGCCTCGGAACAGGGTGTGCGGTCCGTGACTTTTTTCTACCTTGATGGTATCCACGATATGTAGCCCCATCCGCAGGTCTCAGCCTTCAGGTGCCGGCCGACAAAGTACTTGACTGGGTAGTCCTTGGTAGATTGCCTTGTGTTCCTTGTGTTCCTTGTGCTTGTGGGCGCTATTCGGCTTTGATGGAGTTTTAGGGGTGTTTGTGCCCTATTCTAATGGAGAATAAAAGAGAGTTCTGACAACGGCCCCGGACGATGCCAGGGGCATTATTCGAACTAAAGCCAAGGTATACACTTTTAAGCATATATTAGTTCTCCCAAGACCCAATACCAAGCTTGTACAGCCCGGTCGACAGCTGAAAAGTCCCATCGCGGAATGCTTTCGTCTCATTGGGCGACGGGTACGATGAGCAAATTGGTTAGGCCAAA